GATCATATTACTGACATTTGCAAATCTTCATTTTATCATTTGCGAAATATTAGCTATATCAGGAAATATCTTTCAGCGACCACTACTGAATTGCTGGTTCATATGTTTGTATCTTCGAAGCTGGATTACTGTAATTCCCTTTTGTATGGCCTACCAGCCTACACTATAAAAAAGCTACAACACGTCCAGAATGCCGCGGCGCGCCTCGTCACACTTACAAAAAAGCATGATCACATTACGCCTGTTCTTTTCAATCTTCATTGGCTTCCCGTTAATCAACGTATTATTTTTAAGATTTTACTTATAACCTACAAGGCACTTAACAACTTGGCACCGTCGTACATTTGTGATTTGCTTACATCTTACACCCCATCGCGTCAACTACGCTCATCATCCAAGCACCTTCTGGTTTCTCCATCCTATAACTTGAAAACATATGGCGCAAGATCCTTCTCTGTAGCAGCACCATCATTATGGAATGCTTTGCCAAGTGAAATTAGAAATGCTCAGTCTGTGTCTGTTTTCAAAAGTAGATTAAAAACTTTTCTTTTTAAAAAAGCCTTTTATAATTAATATTAGCTGTCTTAAGTGTTAAGGTTAAAGTTTTTTGTTGGCGCCTTTGAACAGTAGGATACTGGCGCGGTATAAATCTTTTTTTATTATTATTATTATTATTATTATTATTATTATTATTAAAAAAAACTTCAGAGGTTTGTTATCAGATGTAAGCACGAGAAATCCTTATAAACAAAGTCATCGCCTTCAAGTGCAAATTTTATTGAGCAACCCTGCACTTCGTCTAGCAATTTTAGTATTTCCAAATAGTCATGGATGGCATCAACTTGTTCCAAAGTCTTAATCTCTATAACTCTCCATGTTAACAAATAATGAAAAGCACTAGACAGCAATTTTGCTAAAACAGCAACACCTTCAATTCAAACCAATTCAATTCAATCCGCTGAACCACAGATCTGGCCAGAATATAGACTCCATGTAGCCTCTTGTTCAGTAACAGATAGTCGCCTAAAATATAATTTTGCAGTGGAAAGCTCTGTTTTATCTCCAACAGCCTCTGGACAAAGATGTTTTCCTGTCTCCGTTCTTCAAACAAGTGAAAATAGGCTGAACAAAGAAAAAAGGTATCGTTTTTCAAAGCATAACAACGTGGGCTTCTTAATTGGTTGTTGCCTATCTGGACTTTTCCCTGTGTGTGCAAAATACGTGATAAAATGCAGGTTGTTTACAGGGAGTTGACACGCAATGGGGTAAAGTCCAAAGGTAGCTAAAAACGAATTTTATTGGTAGAAAACGTCTAAGCACGTGAGAGTTGCACGGAAAATTGACCCACTGTACCATTGTGTTCCTTGTGTAATATTTTTCAGTGAGGCAGAATTATGTCATAAAATTTACATTGTTTACTGGAAAATGGCATTTCAACTGAGAAAGTCTAGTCCATACTGGTGAGTGAAAAGATCATCAATCAAATATAATTTATACAAATGCCTTGCACAAGTTTTACCAGAGTCAGCAAAACTAGCCCATCCAAAACAACATGCTCTGATGCTAAATTAGTGTTAAGCCTTTAGCTGACAGTGTGTGCGTTAGAAGTGAAGGGAACGGTACACACAACATGCACGTTTTAACTTGCAATTGGTAGATAAAATTCCCTGACAACCTTTCTAATCCCAACAGATCATAGCCACAAAGTCCTCACAAAAGACAGCCATTATACTGGGTAGACGAACTCACAATTCTTGTAGATGTAATTCTTACTTTGTTCTTCAAGTGAAATTAAAAATGGAATTCATGTATAGCAATGAAATATCCCTTAGTCGAGAAAACGAAGTTAAATACGCGTGGGACTGCGTCGACACTTGGTAAACTTCACCTTTACTTTAATTATTCTTCGACTTCAAAAGTGCAGAATTACAGGAGCACTAGCTTAATGGCTGCTCTCATTACATCATTCTTCAACTTCGTGAGCGCTGAATTGCTAGTTTAATGGCCACATCATTTTATCATTCTTTGACTTCAGGAAAGCTTGAATGCAGGACCACTGGTTTAAATGTCCTCTCTTTTAATATCAATTTTCGACATCTGGACTGCGGGAGCAATTCATCCATTGTGGTCAATAGTACTGTGGTCGGGTATTCTGAAGTTACTCCAATCAAGCAATATGTGACTCAAAATTTGTCATGAGTTGATTTGCTGAAATTTGAAGACCTATCAAACCACAAATCAGCGAGAACACTCTGATTGGTGTGACATCAAAAAATACTACTATCTGATTGGTTTGTGATGCACCAAAAAATTGCGCCAATCACATTGCTTTGAGATACACCAAAAAAAAAGATGCACCCATCAGATTGCTTAGAGATACACCAAATTGCACTGATAAGATTACACTACACCAAAATACACCAATCTATATGCTAACATATATAGTTATTTTTTGAAAAAAAAAAAACCCAAAAAGCACCAGAAGAAAAGGAATCATATGTTTGTTGAGAACTACTCTTTCACAGCTGCACAATTTTAACCTTTTTATTTCTAAGATCTCAGTTGTATTTCTCCTTAATGTCTGCCATTCAATTCTTATGATTTTAGTTTAGAGAATTTGGCATTGGATAGAGTAATGATCCCCCAACTGAATTTTATCTTCATTCTCATCCTTGTCGGCTTGAAATTGTATTGATACTGTAAGAAGAAATTCTATCTTGGTCACTCAAAAACTCCAAGATGGTGACTTTGAGCTCATTTCAGTTGCATTTTGGAGCAACTTTAACATTTTCATTTGAAAATTTTTATAATAATGACCTAGTCAAAAGTTATGACACATACCAGTACATGAATTTTCGAGTGTGTAAGAGAAAGTACAACAACACCAACATTTCTCATCAGAGTTCCTTTCTGCTCTTGTGGAGAATAGGGAAACAAAACAACAGCATTACATACAATGAACATCTTTTACACGTTTTTGGAAAGATTTCCAGTTAAGCTCCCACATCATTTTAAAAGAAAGTCTAAGTTGGTCTCAAAGGTAGTCTGTTTGCTTTTATCAAAGAACTGGATACATAATGAAGTAAGATGTATGGGGTGAAAAAGAAATCTTACCGAGTTTTAATATACTGAAAGATTCACTAAAAAATGAGCTCTCATTCTTTGTACAAGACATCACCTTACCTCAAACAAGCTGTTTACACGAAAGCTTCCCAACAAGAAATGAGTTCACGTGCACATTCGTCATTGTTGCATCCCAGCTACCATAATTTCTCCTTCCCAGAAAATATATCCGAAGCGAAGAAACACTTACGTTCGAAGTCAAGAAAAGCTAGAGGCCATTCACGATATTAAAATTTTCCCCCCAATATTTTTCAAACCACGCCGCCATGTTGCTTTCCTTTATTCATTCTCAATCCCCTTTCGACGCGTGAATCAACCGTCGGAGCCCGGAGCCGGCATGAACTAAAACAAGGAACACTGGAATACTGAAATACTGGAACACTGGAATATTAGAACAGTGGAACACTGGAATATTAGAACAGTGGAACACTGGAACACCGGAACACCGGAACACTGGAACACCGGAACACCGAAACACCGAAACATTGGAACACCGGAACACCAGAACACTGGAACACCGGAACACCGGAACACCGGAACACCCTGGAACACCGGAACACCGTAACAGCGGAACATCCCGAAACACCATAACACCCCGGAACACCGGAACACCCCGGAACACCGTAACACCCCGAAACACCGGAACAGCCCGAAACACCGGAACAGTCGAAACACGAATTTGACGGTGTTGTTTTGTATTGCCATTACAGATCATGTAAGGAATAAAATGTAAGTGTATTTCGTTTACCCACGTATAACGAAAGAGCTTAGAGCTCGTTATAAAGTGTACGTGTAGGACATCGAATTTGAATTTAGAAGTGTTGGTTTTTGTGGAGGGAGGAAAACCGGAGAACCCAGAGAAAAACAAACAACAAGCTCTACCTTCACATGACAGTGGATCCGGGAAGCGAACCCGGGTCACATTGGTGGGAGGCGAGTGCCATTTCACCACAGCAGCTCCCCCTATGTGATCATAGTCTTGAGAAATTTTCAGATAGTCGCGTGAATACGAATGGATTTTTTTTGCTCCAGAGAATATCACGCGGTCTGTAATAGCTAAACAAAGACCCAACGAAAAGGGTCGATAACTTTTAACCGGCCAGTACGTAACTATTAGTATCAAACTATGCATTGTTCAACGTCCCTTTGCCTTCTTAAAACAGGAAAAACGCCTAACAATAGGGGCTTGTAATTGGAAAAAGTTAATTGTCTCTTTAAAAGCTAGAACGTCAACAACAACAACAACAACATTTATTTATACCTCAAAGAAATGAGATAAGAAACATTAAGAAACTATATATTTAGCGCCTGCTTCTAAGCTCTTTCGTGTTACGTGAGTAAACAAATTCGGTTTTCTGGTGTTCCGGTAGTACGGTGTTCCGGGGTGTTATGATGTTCCGGTGTTACAGTGTTCCGGGATGTTCCGGTGTTACGGTGTTCCTGGTTTTAGTACATGCCGTAGGAACCCGCCGAAAATGGACGCACCTAGCCGAACTCGAAGGGAACCGACAGAGATAGGCGGAAATGTCCGAAAATTGAATGGAATTGTCCGGTTCACTGAACTCAGATTACTGAAAACCATTCGAAAAGGGACACAACTCTCAACAGGACGGCGACGAAATTTTTGAAGACAGAACGGGTTTGCGTGACATGCTCACTGATCTGAAGGAGCTGATCATGAAGGTCTCTATTGTCTGAGATCGACGGAGCTTTCGGAAATGGGCGAAATCTGACGGGTTCCGTCATCCGGAGACAATTTAACTAACCTGTAAGTAGTGGATTTTTTATAAGCGTAGTATTGCCGCTTATAATGAATAGTGCAAATGTAACCAGTAAAGAAATGGCATTTTCCTTTAATTTGAGTTTTTCTAATTATACGGGCCTTTTGGGTTTATGGTTTGAGAAAATTCGTATTACAGCGTTGCTCGATTTTCTGGTTACTTTATTCATAATTGTCATGCATTACAGTTATTTCCAAAGTTGTGCCGAATTAATAATATAGATACATGTTCTTCTACTCTCCAGTTCAACATCATGGGATCTTTATCAATTATCAAAGCCGTTACTTCATCGTGTCCTTTACATTAGGTACTTGGGGCATTCTTCAACAGAAAGGTTTACCTATAACGCATTCAAGAAAATATCACTATAATCTTAATCATAACAGGGGCGTAGCCAGGATTTTTCAAAGGGGGGGGGGGTCACAGAGGCTACTCACCAGATTGTCATGTCGACCTCCCCACCGTGCATGTTTTACTTAATGTTACAGTTTTGGGATGAGCAGTGAAATTAAAGTGGGCAAGCCAAGATATGGTCATGGCGTTTTCACCACCTGAATATTGTAGGTTGTTTGCTCAAAAGAAGGCCTACCAAAGGGGGGTCGCGGGCACCCAAGGACCCCCCTGGCTACGCCCTTGCATAACCTTTTGACCCCTAAGGGTGACTAACATCTAATATCTTCCAACAATATCATCCTTGAATCACACATTAAGGTCACGAGAATGAAGGAAGTGATCAGCAGATAAAGAAGCTCTTAATTATAAACAAATTCTCCTCGCCAGTACCTAAGGAAATGTAGAGGGAGCGGTATGGAGAATATGCATACTGATGTTAGGGGGAGTAAAGGGCTAAAGGGGAGTGTAACAACTAAGACTACGCTTAAGTAGAAATTCAAAACAAGAACGAAATAGAATCAATCACAAAATTAAATTTACCCGCTCATTTCGAGGATAATTTTATCTCAGCATCTTCCGCAAGACTTTCTGCAAAGTCGGAGGACATCAGGATAGCGATCATCACAAAGTCCAAGGTCTTTGTACGTTTTACATGCAGAACTCTCGTCCAGGCAAGGTGCTTGGAAAAAGAGACAGGAATGCAAACAAAGCATTGTCATTGTGAAATTCGCTTGAGCTCAGTAACACAATGTATAATAAAATTTAAAAAAATAGAAAAGCTAGTAAAATAAAGTAGAACACCTACATTAAAGTCATCCGATATCCTCCAACAAGGCAAAATGCCCAAATTTTGCATAACTAGTCCACTGGTTGATAAACCAGGTTGATTAAATCAAAGTAAGGGGCCAGTCATTATCTGCCACCCGTGGGGTCGGGGGATTTTGGTTGCGCCGCGATTAAATTTACCTGATCCTCCGGCCTCCCACAAGGCTCTGTAATGTACTTTCACCTCCCCCCTTCTTCACTGGCAGTTATTTGGTCGTCAATTGTCTATAATCCCCTTTGTTGGCGACGACTGAACCCCTTCCGTTCTCCCTGAGAACCATGTGATCCCCCAGAAATCCTCCGCCTCCTCCCCCTCAGGCGATATGTAATGTCTGGTTCTTTACTGAGGCGTGAGTAGTCCAGTGAGTGAGGCGTGAGTAGTCCAGTGGTCAGTGCGCTGAACTCTGGGTCAGACAGCCCGGGTTCAAGTCCTGGTTGGGGCTTGACGTTGTGTCCTTAAACACGAAGGCGCGCTATATAAGGAAGTCGTCCCTGGGAAGACCTAGGCTCATTTGTCACTCACCGTTGACGTGTGCGGGTCAAATTCAAATGCTGGTTGAGGAACAAAAGGAGCTAATGAGATATCTATTGTTTACTTCCACCAGCATGGTGGCATGAGGTCACGTGCGAACCACCTACTTCGATCTCAAATTTACCGCCACAAATAAAGACAGTTTCCATTGGAGAAAGGAAATACAAATCTCAAATATTCTTGTATTGTGATGAAGACATAAAACAATTTTGAGGATTGCGCCCGCTGTTCACTGCTTTGGAGTAGCTGTAGCTCAAGCTGACTTGACTCTAAGAGTTCTACATCACACGACGGTTGATTGACAAATGGTCCAGTGGGACCTAAGGCTCCTTTTATAGCGTGCCTTCGTGTTTAAGCAAGACGCTTCACTCACATTGCTTCGTCTTCTCGGATAGGACGTAAAGCTGGAGGTCCCGTCTCCTGCATCTGTCAGTTAATTTGGTTAGGCAGGGGACGTTAAAGAACCCACATCACGAGATTACTGTGAGGTGGTCTGGCCTGTTCATTGGGAATTGGGGGGAGGGGGCATCTGTAAAATGTCTTCTTTATTAATTGTAAACTGCCACTGGCAGTCTGGAAAAGTCTCCCGCACAGTGTTGTAAAGCGCATTAGAACATTGCATGGAAATGCGCTATAGAAATTGATATTATTTACTCAATTGATCACATGGCAGGATCCTCAGTCTTACCAGGACACGAATGAGTGTTACAGCTGGTAGTTTCCTCCGTGTTACCGACGCAAGGTTTTCCACATTTGCTCGGTGAAGGATCAGTGCACGATCTTGTCCTCTTCTGCTGACCTCCTCCGCAACTTTTGCTGCATGGATCCCATGCGGACCAGGTGGTTAACGTGCCATTCACTGTGGTGTAAAAGTATTCAAGTGTTCACATCAGTTTTCGCTACTTCAGTTCTGTATTTATTGACAGCTTTTTAAGTCGTTCGAATCAACATCTTTGTTTACTGTTGTTTTATTCTTAATTTTAAAATTGTAATTAGAACCCACTTCAGATTTTTTTCTTGATACTTCAATCTTAATGCGACTAAAATTATTTCAATTGCTCTCCTCTCCGAAAAACTATTCCCTCAGAACACCTAGGCCAAAACGATACTCATGCATTTTTACCGATAGCTCAACACTAGCATGAACTAGGATAATTAGGTTACCATACCTGGATCAATGATTTCATAGACATAATTCGACATGCTAGCCCCAGTACAGGCTTCACTTGAATCATCTTTGCATGGTTGTAATTCTAACTCGTTATCAACTGCCGAAACACACCGGTCACTCCCCCCATCCTTTGCGTACGTTTGAGAGGCATTTGCTCCGCTCCAGCATTCGCCATAGAATTGAAGACCGAATATTGTGAAGCCTCTCTGGTAAGCCTCTTCGGCGCACTGCGACACTTGGCTGAAATACGATAAAAGGTGCGCTATGAATAAGGTGCGCTATGAATAAGGTGCGCTTATAGGTTTCACGATTTTTGACATTTTCCTTTCATGCTAGCGTGGATTCACTGATAAAGTTGCTTTAGAATAAATGACAAACTCGAGTTGTACTAGACCAAACTTTCGCGAACTAAAACTAATCAACCTTTGAACAGCAAAGGTGTGTACAATGAGCCACGATCGCCATACTGTTTTATATGAAAAAATTAAACACCGGCCACATCAGTTTGTCGAAGTGCAATCCTGAATAATTGAAATCTTTTTAATGCAAATTAATATCGTGCAGTATGGCCCCTGAATGAAAAGATAAATTCGATTTCTAAATACAAGATTCTGCCTTTAGAAACGTTGCTCTTAGAGGATGAACTCTAAACCGGCATTTGTACAACGTGAAAAGTGATGCAAATGGAAGGAAGCCCTCCTTCAACTGAGGGGTTGGGCGTGGAAGGACAAAAAGACATGTGTGGTAAAAATTGTACGTGTACCATGGTGAAAAGAGAAAAATACTGGAACAGTTTGTTTTAACATAGGTACATTTTCCTCGGAAAAATTAATCTTATTATTTTCTTTCATTAATGACAAGAATTACTCTTCAAGTCGCGCAGAGGTTTGACACTGGAGTTAGAGCAGTCCTTACACTTTAGGAAAATTTCCTTTTTCAATTTTCATTCAAACCCCTATACTATCAATTCCATTTTATTGATTACCCTGCCCTTTCTTCTTATATTTCACTGTTTATTTTATATACCTGTTTATTGATTCCTTTGGAGAGTGCCAGTTGAAGACCGAACGATAGTTTTTAATCAATTTTGGCAATGGGCGTGGTTTCCTCAGACTGTCACGATAGCATCCTATTTTGATATATTCATGACAGCTGTTGACGTCATCAGCGAGTCCTGAGAGTGAATGTAAACACTGTTTTAGCGGATTTAACGAGAAATTCTTGGAAAATTTTTCCAAGCCGCCTGGAAAGTCGATTGAACATCAGTCAATCACAGAACAATATTCATCCAACAATTTTAAAGTCAAAGCGATATTTCCCAAATTTGATATTCCTTGAGGGATGACAGAGCTGGCAAACCTTTTCAATCTCTACTCTTTTCTATTTTTCATAAAGTTGCCGGTAAGAGGTGAAAGACAAAAATAAAATAACCGTAGACTCATACCCTGATTTGTTCCGGCTGCTTTACGACATTCTTGAAATTATTTCAAGATTTAATTTTCAAATTAAGCCTTCTATTTATACATATCAGTTTTTTTCAGTTTTTTTTTTTTTCCGATAACCTTTCTGATTCACTCATTCATCGTGGTTTAAAGTGAAAGACTGAGTAAGTGTCTATGAAAAATTTATTTACCGACATCTGCTCTTATTCCATTCTTTGAACATTTTAATTTTACAAGGGAAACGGAGAAAGATGAGTCAAACATATTGATCGACCTGATTTTCGTTTTCGATCTCTTCAGAGGTGTGTAAAACAAAAGACGATTGTAACATCCTCTGTCGTTTATGTCAAGCGGCGATGAAACAAAATCACTGTATGGGGAAGACGAAGTCATGATTGGTACAAGTATAAGCAAACATTGACGTTACTAATATAATCAATAATGTTGTAGTTAGTCTATAATTATCCCTCCTAGATGGAACTTGCCTTGAAATTAATTTCATTTCGTTGTTGAAAATAACGTTGATGAAGCCTGATTTAAACGAAGGCCCCCCTTAAATTAGTCGGTGCTTATCACAACTCCCACTTGAAGTAAAAGCAATGTGGACGTTTCATACCAAATTTGCTGTTGATTCTGACTTACCTTCAGTATTTCCCCAATGGAGACAAAAGAAAAAACCTGTGAGGATGAAAGCTGAGAAAGCCTTCTTTATCATATTTGTTAACTTTCTCCTAGAGGAAACCAAGCTTGATCAAGAATTGTATACAATAGAAACTGTAAATGTCTTGACGCGTGGCTTTTTCGATCTTTGTGGTGCGGTTCGACAATCGCCGGATCTTTTCATACTCTGTCTGTTTTTATTAATATTCTCTCTTTCCGGAGTAAACAAATATGACACTTTTAAAGACTAGTTTCTTCCTGATTCTCAGAGGTTTTATCCGCCCGACTGAATGGATTTCTGATACGTCTTTGATAACGAATATCAACAATAACCATGTAATCAAACTTTGTAACTGTCTTTGTATCCTGATTTGTTTCCGGATCAAATAAAACGCGTTTTTCTGTCAAAGAAAACAATATATGAGCAGTTCATATGAACTACACTTTGTATCATTTTAGATGGGAGGATGTACTCGTAAACCTCAACTGAAAATGTAATTAACCCCTCACGCTGTTACATATCGGAGAATATGCCATCAATAAGCCCTTATTGATATTATGTATATATGAAGTTCATATATCTTGAACTGCGGTATTAAATACGTAGGATGCACGATCCTCGCAGTAGGAGATGCATAAATAGCGCCTTATTGATATTCTAACTTATTCACGTAGGTCTCCTCGCGTGCTACCGCGCGTAGGAAAGTTTAAGTCTTTTTTATTGCTCTATTCAAAGAATTACTGTTTCCTGTTTACTTTTCTGTTGTATCAGATGTAGCAAGATTCTATTAAGTCAACATGAGGTACTAGTGCGTGGTTTAATAGCAAAGTAACAAAGTCACACCTGCTTTAGCAAGACTATGAGAAAAGCTTGAAAGTAATACAAGTCGTAAAAGATTCTTTGTGCTTTATATCCAAGGAGAATTTATAAAAAAAATTAAAAAAGAACTTGCTTGTTTGGTTAACTGTAATGCTTTGAGGCTGTTTCAAGTCGAATTTAAAGTGTGATAATCATAATCCCGAGATGTTTTAGAACATGTTGTATTATATATTCATAATCTCACCTACAAACACACAAAGGTTCATTTATTATATTCCTCTGGAAGCCCTTCACCTAACATTTCCCGAAAAGCAACTGCTAATCGAGCCTACGTGCGACGCCTAAAGCACAGCCAATGTACAGCGGAAATCGGTGGAAAATTCAAGCCCAGACCGACGAGTTAAGAATGATGAAACGAGTGCTCGAAGAGGATCTGATATCAATAGATGAATTCGCGGATATTTTGGAGATAAAAGTCGAATTATTAAAAAAGGTGGTCTTCACACGGATTTTTGTTTAAAGAGAGGAATAATTTAGAGAACTGTTGTCAAAAAAATGTCGGTGGCAAAGAATGCTTTGACAAAGCACACTTTGTATTAGAAATCACTATGACGGTATCAAACACTGAGTGCACTCTTGTGCCTGTGTATTTTTAGACGGTAAATTTAAAACTCAGAGAGCTGCTGATAGGTGGATTTTTCTCCCTCCGATTGTCGAAGGGAAATGAACACTCCCACGAAACAGTACGTGCGTTGTAGTGAACTTGCCCTAAGGGGGTTAGTTCACGTGGTCTGCGAATGGTAGAACTCAGATGGTCGTTTGAGTTGATCTACAAATAACGTATAAGAAGAAAATAAGCTTTTCGAAATATTAAAAAAGTTCTAGTCCCCTGGATTAAGTAGGTAATGTAACGTAATCAAGCATTGTAAGAAGTGTTTAACTTCAGGGTAGGTATTAAGAGTCGTATTGTCAATACTGTTGATATTTGTCTGTAACTAAAGAACTTAGTGGTGTACTATGGTGTGGTTGCTTGTGATGAGTATCCCGGTTTCCGTAACATGAAGTAACTAGCTATATTACTACTTCCCCCTTGGATGGGATGTTCGTCAAAAGCAGGTTACCCTCGGTTATTTTTGATGTTTCCTATACAGCTGGTTCCCATGTGAGCTCTCGTGTTCAGGGGAGGACTTTGAAAACACAACACAACGACCGCACCAGGGTCGAACCTCGTTTTTTCTCGATCCGGAGCTCTGTGCTAAACATGTTAACCACATGGCGACTACATCTTCAAGAGGATGGGATCATGAAGGGGGGGGAGGGAGGAGGGGTGGTCCAAGTACAAAACCAGAGTCAACCGAGCTTCTCTCTCTCGAAATGTATTTCTGTCAGAAAACAATTCTCACCAAGTCCATTCAGGTCTAAGCTAAAATATTTCTGTGGCAGTCCTATTCAGCTCATAAAGCCTCCGATTCACTTGCGGCTGACCTGCTGCAAAAAAAGACATAACAATTACAAAACCTCAGTTGAAAATTCAAATCGGACAAGCAAAAAAAAAAAAGAAAAAAAAAGAAACAATTCATGTTCTTTGAGGGAGTTGGTTTGGTCGATTTTTTCTTTGAAAGATACTGAAGCTTTTTTTAAACACTTTTCACTGATACATTCTTCGGAAAAATTTACGTATAACCGCTGAACAACTTACTGCATGTATTTTTCAAAATCACAGCAAACAAATCGGACAGTTGGTTAAAGTTGTCTACGGGGTAAACGTCTTCTCCTGCAATTTCCTCCAGCTGTCCGCTCGAATTTGTCATAATTTCCAACACCGATTGCAATGATTTTAACTCCCTTTTTCTGAAATGTAAGTTGTGAACAGAAAAACTCAGTGACATAGCGCTGATAGCAAAGGAGACATCGTGAAATTAGAACAAAATGAAAATTATTAAGGATATAGAAGATGAAATCATTGAAAATGAAATTCTGAGTTGCTACACGGATATTTCCTACATTTAGAATTGGGTTCATCCATTTTTTATATCTCCTTCTTCTTTAAGCTTTCCATTGTAATCTTTAAAGAGGGTCATCTACAATGAATCAAGATTAAAATGAAATGCTTTTATATGAATCTAAAGTTAGCTTGCTTTTATTTTCATTTAAGCCTATTTTATGAAATTATGGCGTGAAAACTTAAAGGAAGAATTGGTTCATACAATTCAGTTTTGAGCACTTTTTGATTGAGCGGCGTAAAGCCATAACCAAAGCTATTATAACGGCCAATCAGAAGAAAGGAGAATACCTTGAAGATCCATTCAGAGCCCAAAGCACTAACAAGTTAACACCTAAAGCGCTAGAAACGCGGGAGACTAAGTCATGATTGCGATTGGTTTTAGTCTTGCATTTGATTGGTTGAGGGAGTGGTGCGACTTTTCTGTACCAATCACAGAGTGAAGTAAGGCAAAAATAAAAGCAATACCGGATTACTTTAAACACTCAATCGAAATTTGGTCTATTATTATCTCCCACATTAAACGAGTTTGTCACCAAACCATGAATGAAACAAAAAAATAAATGAAGCAAATCATTCGTATATGGAAGTAAAAGAGAAAGAGAAAATCTGAAAGATAAGTTAGGGAAAAGCAAATTCGAGTCAATCCCACCTGAAGCAAACGAATTATTGTCGAGAAAGGCTTCGATTCAGGATTTGTCTTTCCATCCGACAAAAGAATCAAAACATTAGGAAATTCCAGCCCGTCACCCTCTTTCTCAGAAAACAATTCATCATTGGCTTTTTTCAGCGCACTGTCAATGAATGTTCAGCGCCCAAATGAGCCTTCATCTTCTGATAAGTCATCTATGAG